TAGTGTGGCAGCATTATGTTAGCGTTAAGGTGCTAGCACCGCTTGCTCCCTCTCCCTTTCAGTTACCGCCGCTGGCTAGCCCTCGTGGTGAACAGGGAAGCAACTTGCACTATTCTTCGCCTGTCAGTACACAGCCTCTTCACCATCAAGACTGCTGTGCCTCCTCTTGGCAACACACGGTAACTGGGTGCCTCGTGGGCCCAGGCTAGACCAGCAGGGGATCTCAGAGCAGCAGTGGGCCCCAGAGGGACGGCGCAGAGGCCCACTGGCATGTGGACACGTCCTGGAGCCTACCAAGCACTGCCCCGCTGCCTTGCGGAATAACCTTGGTGGGTATAAGGCTACAGGAGTAAACTCCGAACGAAAAATCTGCGGTGGAGCCCCGCATCAGGCAGACATGCTTACAGAGCTCAAGGAAGACCCCATCAACGGTATAGGCGGAAGAAGTGACGAACATGAGAACCCAACGACTACACCGGCGGATGAAGGCAATGAATGATGGACAGGCTACTAAAGCAAAACTCAAGAAACTAGGCTATCAACAGACCATTGCAATTCTGCCTCTCCCCTGTCGTTGCAACACTTGCTCCACTGGATTAGGAAAAAGGAGAGGCAAGATGTGTGGTTGCAGCCTGCGCTCCTGCTTCACCACATAAATCAACTCACGCGAAGCCATCATCCAGCTCATCATACTTCTCATCATCACCGTAACCCCTATACCTCCAAAAGTCCTATGGCGACAGACGAGTGGCGACGGGGACAGGCAGAGATGACTGCCGGGAGTCTCAAGTCACAACACTGCACATGGGCGGCATAGATAAGATGGTCGTGCATGCACTGGGATCTAGGCAGCAGTGTAATCCTGTCCTGTCTATGCGACTGAGCAGCCCTTTTGAGGACCCATTCTGCTCACCCCACATGGGGAAAGGGCTAGAAAAGGTACTCTACATTGGACTGGCCATGTTACCAGCATGGGCGACAGTAGACTGCCAAAGCAACTACTTTACAGTCACCTAACGAATAGCAAACGTAACGCTGGCGGGCAACTGAAAAGGTGTAATGATAGTCTTAAGATAAACCTGAAAAAAATTGCCAAATCGACCCCCTCACCTGGGAGAGGATTACTCCACGCCGTAGAGCTTCGAGGAGCCCCACACGAGGTGTCAATACTTTCGAGTTAGCCCGACTGTATACCAAGGCAGACAAGCACCAACGCCGGAAAGACGCTGCCGTCGCCCCTCCTGCACTAGATGTAGCCCTTCACACGTGCAGCATCTGTGGACGACACTACCAGTACCGTATCGGCCTCTCGAGTCACCTCAGAGCTCACCAACGATGGTGACATCCCTAATAACTCATATTATTGTATCATAGCTGGATGATCGTCATACTCGATTCCAAATGACAGCAAAGTAGTAGTAGTAGTGTGTGGGTGTATCACAATCGCCTTCTCATCAGAGTATTGCTAATAACATCAATACAAATGTCTGATATTAAAACCGTTTTCCTGGGAATAGGTGGTTACGTTGTAAACAACCCTTTTTTTAGATAGATAGATAAACAGACAGACAGATAGATAGATAGATAGATATATAGATAGATAGATAGATAGATAGATAGATAGATAGATAGATAGATAGACAAGGATTTACATTCTACCTCAGTGTAATTCTCAATACCGCAGAAGATTCTTGTCCACTCTATTTCAAAACAATCAGTAAAATAAGGCAAGTTGCTCCATTTTCCCAGTTAACTGTTGACGGTCGACGGTGTCATGTGGTTTTATTTGCTAACATCAACGTGTAATTGGTGCTTAATGTTGTTTATAAACGCCGACATGACCATCTCCTTGAACGACACCACCCTTCATTATTTATTGATGACGTGTGTGTGTGTGTGTGTGTGTGTGTGTGTGTGTGTGTGTGTGGAGTTTGTGACCTCGACGCAAGCGGCAGCTGATAACGATACACTAAGAGCACCTCCACTGTCTCGAACAGTAAGGTACTTGTGCAATATCTTCATCATTGGTACATGGAAAAAAGAAACAAAATTCACAGAACAAAATCAAAGAAACATGAGGGCAAATATTCATCACTTTCCCAGTTCATAAATTTATCCACGGAAGTATATCACTCAGCTCAGTAACTAGGTGATCAGCCCGCCACACTCAGCTCATTTAGCTAGGAACTAGGTGATCAGCCCGCCACACTCAGCCCACAAACTCTGACACACAGGCCAAACACCCAATGTAATTTCTTCGACAAATGTTTCCTAATATGTGTTGTACCGTTCAACCGTCAGGAGTTAGACGCCAAGCTTTTACATTCTACATAAATACAGTGAAACCTTCATATAACGGACTTCTCTTCCATATAATCCGTGAGATGGGGCTTTCACATCTTACAGACCCTCCAAATAACGGATTTTCCTCTCTATATAGTTTCACATCTAAAGGACCCTCGACATACCTGACTTTTCACTCCATAAAGTTCGTTAAATAGAGGTTTTAATGTAAGCTATATTTCAGAGAGGTAAAACCATAATGCTAGCTGGTGAATCATTGACTACTAGGAAGGGATGAACACCTATTTCACCATTAGTGCTATTTACGTCGATAACATGAAATATTTACAACAACATGACAGCAATAGAATGCATTACAACATAATTATTCATCATGATAAGAGAAGACTTGATTACGACTTTTATATTAGTAAGCTCTTCAAGTCAGCCAGGGATCCAGGTTCTCAAAGGTCCGTAAGTTTAATATAAGAATGTGCATATCTAACTGGCTGACTTAAGCTAAAAGAAAAAAAATCTCCAAGTATAACATCAAAATTACACTGAGACTTTACCCTAAACAGATATATACACTTTTAGAAAATATATTAGATCGTAATTTTGTATGATAACATTCCACTAAGATTACCTTAAATTAGTCGGTCGATGCGGCACAGGTTACCAACTCTTTTCCTATATGATTTTGACGTGAGGACCTCGTTGGTGATAAAAGACTTAGCACAACATTCATCCTTTCCGTCTGATATACGAGCCGTTAGCGTCATGGCCTCGGCATTATCCTGGCCAGTGCAGCGTCTTTGTTTTATAACAAACCTCAAACAAGTTTTCATAACAGTGTGTGATAGATGGCCTGTAAACACCGTGTTTTGGTAGGGAAGATAAGCGACCGAGGCCACTGTTGTTAGTGACCCCCCAACACAAACCCGGTGACACTTTGACTGATGCTGACCACACAGCTAGTCCTTCATCATCCTATACGCCCTGCGGTCACAACGTGAAGACCTGCACATCCTGTGGTCACAGTGTGAAAAAATACACGTCCTGCGGTCACATGAAGATCAGCACATCCTGCGGTCACAGTGTGAAGACCTGCACGTCCTACGGTCGCAGTGTAGAGAACTAAATTTACCAGAAACACTGCAGGAGGTCCTCTACGAGTTATGAGTTGGTTGTGGTTCCTGTGTGTTGTGACTCTCGTGTAACCTAAACGTGTGTGGCGTGCATGTTATGATGGGTACTATGGAGGTATTTGTCTGCCATGAATCACAACGCATAAACTTAAATGTTAAGGAACAATTCTTTCATTCTTGTAAGTTTACAGAGATGCTCCACAAACATTGTGTGGAGTCCGTGTCGTACACGAGGAACCTGTTAAATTATCGCCTTAAAAGTGGTGGACGGAGACGTTACGCCTTGTCTCGCCAGTTACTGTGTGTGTGTGAGTCATAAAGGCAAGCATGAACTCCGCATGCTTCCCAGTTGGGCACTGTAAACGCTTCTGCGCTTCACCTTGCACAGGATGTAAGGGGGTGCCCAATAAACTAGCCCCCTCCGGGGCAATCTGAATCTGAATCTGTGTGTGTGTGTGTGTGTGTGTGTGTGTGTGTGTGTGTGATGATGACCATGTCTTCCAGTGCCACAATAACTTTTTGTTGGTACGAGTGTGTGTTGAGCCTCGCGTGTTGGTGTTAATAATGTTCTTCTTGTTCGCCCTGTATTTGTATTTTTCTGGCTAAATAAACTGTTTCAATATCAAGAGGAAAGACGAGTTGACGGAGGTAACCACACAACACATGCACGGTTAGCTAGCAGGAAGGGAGGGAGCAAGACGCAGGTGACGAAGGGGAGGGCATGGTTGGGTAACGGAGGGAGGAAGAGGAGGAGGAGGGGGCAAGTATGTACAGATGATATAAGCCGATGGCGAGCACTGGTGGTGAGAGACAGAGAGGGTGGGTGAATGATTTTTAAATGAGGAGAGATGAAAACAAATGTGAAGATTTGGAGGAAGAAGAAAGGATGTGTGGAGGAGGCACACGTAGTTAAAAGTACATACAGTTGTTGTTGTGGCAGTGGTGACGTAGTTGTAAAGGGTTATAAATAAGATGAGAGAGGTTGTGGTGGTGACTGGGTGCAGGTATAAGATAATTGAAACTTGGTATATTTTTCCTAGTGCCAACTGTACAGTCTCAGTCATTGTAACAGTCAGCTGTGGTTGTAGTAGTGGTAGGGGCAGTTATGTTCTCTTTGACAACAACGATGTAAATTGTGGTTGTAGTTCTCTCTTACATTTAAGTAGATTGTGGTTGTGGTAGGAATGGTGGTTGTGATGGTTTATACTGCGTTGTTTAAATGACTCACTGACCAGTAACCTGTAAACAATATCTGACATCATTCTTAATATCAATCTCACCGTTTATTAGTTATGTGTTTATTTTAAGGCATCATTTCTTTGTTTACACCCAACAAGTGAACTGATGTCATTATAACTCGCTTATATAGTTTTTTGTCTGCTCCCTGTCCTACCTCCTCTCCCTGTTTGTCTCCCTCCCTTTCTTCCTGATTCTTACATCGTCCTATTCTCCCTCTCTATACCTTCCTCTCTTCATCATTCGTTACTTCTCTCTCTCTCTCTCTCTCTCTCTCTCACCACACCCAGCAGTGCGAACCGTAGAGGAAGTGAGAGAGAATTATCCACCTTCTCTCCTTATCTCCACCCTTCCCCTCCTAACGTTAACACTGAACACTGAATTTTAATTATTATGTTTACCTCTCCAAGCTGAGTCACCTACAGTCAGGGTGTCTGTCGGTCGTCTTGTTTTGCTTTTCGTTTGTAAATCTTTGTGATCAATGTACTGGAAGGAACTCGTCAAATAGTGCCTAACCTCACTTAAACTAACCGAATCTAACCTGAAGGAACCTAAACTAACATAAATTAACCAAATCTAACCAAACCTAACCTAAATCACCCAAACCTAATCTATCTAAACTCTAAATAGGTCATAATCCTCATGGCATAGGTTAAGTTAGGTTAGGTTAGGCTAGGTTAGGTTAGGTTAGGGTGAAGCCTATTACGATATGGTACCTATTTGATTGACTAAGATTCCCAAAAGAACATAATTATGAAGTGTTGATAAACTATGAAGAATAAACTCATTTAATCCCTGTACTGTGTTTAATAATGAAAAAATACTAAATACACATCAAACTACTCAAGACTGATTGACTCTATAGCAGCCCTTAACTTGTGGAACTACAGTGAAGTGAAGTGTAGTGAAGTGTATTGAAGAAGAGAAGAGTATTACTGTATACCCAGGAGCACTTCTTTCCCTCCTACACACACACACACACACACACACACACACACACACACACCCTCCTCCAAGCAGCAGCAACGGCCATTTTTTTACGCTCCACATCTGCACCTGGTAAGTATACTCTCTCTCATCACTGCTTAACACACACACACACACACACACACACACACACACACACACACACACACACACACACACACACACACACACACACACGAGACACAACTACACCTACAGTATTTTTTCACACAAAAGATTCTAGTGTTTATCTACGTGTGTGTGTGTGTGTGTGTGTGTGTGTGTGTGTGTGTGTGTGTGTGTGTGTGTGTGTGTGTGGAGAATACCTTAACGTGTTTTTTTATTACTACTACAACACAGCATTTACCATTACCCTCATCACTACTCCTCTTCCCTCAGGTGTACAATAAGAACATAAGAACATAAGAATGGAGGAAACTGCAGCTGGCCTATTGACCCATACTGGGCAGTCCCGTTTATACCCAACCCCTATTGCTCATATAAGCATCCAACCTATGTTTGAAGCTATCCAGCGTATTCGGAGTAAATGATGATATTTGGTAACTTGTTCCATTCATCCACTGCTCTGTTTCAAAACCAGTGTTTACCTATTTCACGCCGAAATCTAAATTTGTCTAATTTAAAACCATTGTTACGAGTTCGCTCCTGGTTGGATAGTTTGAGTACCTTTGTAATGTCCCCTTTGTTTAACCCTGACTTCCATTTATACACCTCTATCATGTCGCCCCTTACTCTACGTCTCTCGAGGGAGTACAAATTAAGATGCTTTAACCTGTCTCTGTACTCAAGGTTCCTAATGCCCGGGATTAGTCTTGTCATTCTCCTCTGAATTCTTTCCAATGATTCTATATCCATTCTGTAATACGGTGACCAGAACTGAACTGCGTAATCAAGGTGAGGTCTCACAAGCGCTAGATATAATTTTAAGATGACCTCGCTACTCTTGTAACTAACACGCCTTTGTATGAACCCAAGTACTTTATTAGCCTTGCTACGAGCAAAAACACATTGTTTACTTGGCTCAACATTCCTACTTATAGTACTTATCATTACTCCTAAATCTCTCTCGCAGTCGGATTCCACAATGGCATCGTTGTTCATCTGGTAACTGGTTTCCCTGTTTACATCTCCTATACTGAGTACTTTACATTTGTCCACATTGAATTTCATCTGCCATTTTTCCGACCATTCGAAAAATTTGTTTAGATCTTCCTGTAGTTTTGCAGAGTCCTCGTCAGATTTAATTACAAGTCCTATGTTAGTGTCATCAGCAAATTTACTTATGTTGCTGTCTATGCCGATATCTATGTCGTTTATGTATGAACAATTTGTAATCCGCAATTTGGTATTCGACAGGTAACTCACGTGAGTCTAGGTTGATCCATGTTTCAGTGAATGCTATTATATCGATTTTTTCGGTACATACCAAGGCCCAAATATTATCCATTTTGTTTCTCATACTTCTACTGTTCGCGTAGTAGACATTTAAGTTAGTCTTGTTCTGAATCCTCCCTTTACCGCGTTTAGGTTTAAACTCCCTGTCTAATTTAGTTTTGTCATCATTCCTAACACTATTTCCCTGTAATCTTTCACTTTGTTTACCCGCTCCCACTGCAGTCTCCTCCACCCCCGTGCCCATATGTTCCCCTAGCAGTTTAAAGACTTTGATATCTTTTGAACCGCCCCCTCAAGAGACCCAACCAGGGTTGCCACCCCATCCCTAGCATAAAGGTCCCTTCTGCCGTAGAAGTTGTCCCAGTTGTCAATGAATGGGACTGATAGTGACTTACAATATCCGTAAAGACGGCCGTTGACAACAACGTGAAGTCACTAGCGTAGCTAGGGGGGGGCGGGGTCCGCCCCGGGCGGCACTTTTGGGGGGCGGCACTTTTGGGTCTGCTCATCACCCATATCTGCAGCTACTGGAGACGTTAATCCATCCCTTTGTATCGGCGGCAAGTTAATCCTTGTCGTGTCTGACCTAACACCTGACCCACATCTGTCTCCTACTATTCAGAACGAGTTTATAGAAATTTTGGGAGAAAACGTAAGAAGCAAAGTCATCAAGCAAGTAAAAGAAGCAAAGTACTTTTCCATGATATTCGACAGCACTCCTGATATTTCACATAAGGATCAAACGAGCCAAGTTTTACGCTATGTTATGATCGATGGAGATAAAGTGAAGGTTGTGGAATCATTTGTCGATTTCATTGAAACAAAAGGTAAAACCGCCGAGAATATTTCAATGATGATTTTGGAAAAATTAGAGAAAGACGGAATTGATATTCAAAATTGTCGAGGGCAAGCATATGATAATGATGCGGTGATGGCTGGTGTTCATACTGGTGTTCAGAAACGTATCAAGGAAATTAATAAAAAAGCAGAATTTGTCGCTTGTACAAATCACTCGCTGAATTTGGCGGGTGTTCATGCAGCTTCTGTTGCTGTGAATTCTGTTACCTTTTTTGGATGTGTGGAACGTTTGTTTGTATTTTTTTCTTCATCAACCCATCGCTGGGATGTTCTAACTTCAGTCACTGGTCAAAGTGTCAAGCGCATAATAGAAACTCGGTGGAGTGCGAGGGGAGAAGCTGTAAGTGTTGTAAAGAAACATTTCTCAAAAATCTTAAGTGCCCTAGAAAAGTTAACTGGTGAAGAAGAAAATACAGCTACCAGGGCAGATGCTGGTGTTCTACTTGGTGCGTTGCAATCATTTTCCTTTTGTGCTTTCTTGGCCTGTGGGGACCCGTCCTTCTAGAAATTAACGACACACAGACTTACCTCCAAACCAAGGGCTTGAACATACAACAATGTGATATAAAACTCAGGGCATTAGAAACATTTCTAGGTGAAAACAGGGACAAGCTAGTGAGTAATGTAGTTAACTATGCCAAAGAAATTTGCAATGATCTGGGGATAGTCATGGAGCGTCAGCGTCGACCCAAAAAGAAGAAACAAATGTTTGGTGAAGGATCACGAGATGCTGAATTGCCATACGACATTGAATTGAGGAGAGAAATGTTTTCTTCGCTGGACAGAGTGATCCAAGAAATAACTTTGAGATTTCAACAGCTTCATGAACTTGCTGAGAAATATGCCTCCCTTACCCCATTGAATCTTTTGGATGATAAATATGAGTGTCAAATAGATCACGATCACGACGACATTGATAAAGAGGAGTTCCTCGTTGAGAGAAAAAGACTTCAGCATTTTGTTGCTGTTGCTGCTATAACTATTAAAGACAGAATACAGACGTAGAAAGAAGGCCCCCTTGAACTTTTGCAGTTTATTCAAAAGTATAACCTTGGGAACTCGGTTCCAATAATGCTGAGGATTTTCCTCACAATTGCTGTTAGTGTTGCTACCTGTGAGAGGAGTTTTTCGAAACTAAAACTGATCAAGAATTACTTAAGATCTACTATGAGCACCTTGCGGTTGAGAAATCTTGCCATACTGTCTATAGAGCGACAATTGACAGATGAAATAGTTTTTGACAATGTCATTGAAGAATTTGCCAACAAAAAAACAAGAAAAGTTACTTTGTAGAAAGTTGTAGTTTTCATTTCAGAAATAAAGATGGTCCTAATTTTTTACACTTTTTTACTTTTTTCCCTATCCTATATGTCGTTTTTGCTTTTTGTTTAACTGTTACTTATAAAGTTTAAGTATGTTTGGTGTGTATTTAAAGCATACTATATTTGAGTATGTGAAAGTACAGTAATATTATAATGGTACACAAACTATTTAATATATATATATATATATAATATATATATATATATATATATATATATATATATATATATATATATATATATATATATATATATATATATATATATATATATATATATATAAGAGTGAGTCACTGTGCAATATGTATTTTTTGTGGGGGCACGGGGGGGGGAGCGGCACACACACTAGCTACGCCACTGCGTGAAGTAATACAATTAATACACTGATAACATTTTGTAAGAAAAGAGTTTTTATGATAGTAGCGAAATCATCAGATAATATAACCAAAAATTGTTTATAAATTCAATGAAGGATTACGCCATCAGATGTGAGTAATCTAGCAAAAAAATCCTGCAAACTCTTGGTTGTTATGTAGTGGCGTACTTACAGTAGATAATCATTTGGCTGCGTCTCCGTCACTCAGGACACACTGCTGCTGTTCTCCCTCCTGGCTAAGGTAGGCTGACGTAACAAGTTCCTTACTGTGTACTGTAGGAGACTGAAGAACTCTAGCACATGATGGTATTGTCTGGTTCATTTTTACATAGTTTGGATCTCACTAACTTAACCTAACCTACCCCTCCCACTTCATTGTACTTATCAAGCACTTCTTGTTCACGTCTGTCCTCCAGTATTGTCTTCACATTTCTCCTAGGTCTCTCTGTTATCAAAAATAAATTAATGACCACCTAACCTGTAAGCAAACAAAGTTAAAGATTGAATTTTAATCCTCTGTAGTAACCGTAACCCGCTGTGTGTGCATATCACAATGTACAAGTACTAATTAGTATGTTTGACAAGAAATGATAAGTATAAGAAACAACTATAGTGTTTTGGCAACTGGATAATAAGTGAGTGACCCAGAGAGCATGGCGACACACACACACACACACACACACACACACACACACACCATCAAGCCGAGTGAATTGACTGGTCAGCTGAGGGAAGAAGAGCCTCTCTGTCTCAACTCATAAGAACATAAGATCATAAGAAAATAAGGAGTCTGCAATAGGCCGGTTGGCCTGTGCATGACAGCTCCTGTCGAGAATTACTACCACTCTCTATCATCCATGAATCTATCCAGCCTCTTTTTGAAACTTTCCAGCGTTCCAGCACTTACTACAAAGTTGCGAAGCTTGTTCCACTCGTCCACCACCCTATTTGTGAACCAGTTCCTTCCTATCTCCCTCCTAAACTTAAACTTATCCAACTTGAATCAGTTGCTCCGAGTCCTATCCTGCTCGGATATTATAAGAACTTTATCTATATCCCCTTTATTGATTCCTTTCACCCACTTAAATACTTCTATCATATCTCCCCGCACTCTTCGTCTT